AGAACCTGTCCCAGGGGGGTGATGTGACTCCAGAGCCCTTTTTGCAGTGCTTGATAAGGCACCGTGTCCTTGCTAATCAAAAAAAAAAAAATTGTTTAAAAAAAGGATGATAAAGCCCTTGGAGGAAATGGAGCCTTGGCAGTTTTTCTGCTCCCAACCTGCTCTGAGGGCTGAGCTCTCTCCACATCCCTGGGGCTCTCCCAGCTCCCAGTCCACAAAATGTCAGAGCTGGACCAAGGATCCGGAGCCCTGGAGTTCCCTGAGGAGGTGGGAATGAGTGGTGAATCCTCCTTTCCTCAGATGGGTCTGGCAGAAAGGGCTGCACAGAACGTGTGGCATCCTCAGCCACCAAGGGTCTCAGCTTCACGGAGAAGCTTCAGCACCTCCACAGTTCATTTGCTGTCTTTATCCTGCTCTTTTAAGACTTCAACTCGTTTTGTTTTCCTCAGGGAGGTCACTGCTGCTCTACCAGGATTATTCTTATGTTTCCCAGTGGCTGCTGGGCTCCAGGACATGAGCCATTATGTTTTACTGCCTGTGTGAAAAGCATTTTGTGTAAAGCTGAGAGCTTTGTGTACCACAAACTCCAATGACTGGAGGCTTACAGAGATACTGCACTCTTGATAGAGATTGTTTATGATTTATTTGGAGTTTAATCTCGACATCAGCACAATCAGCAAAATGCTAAAACTTCTCTGCCTTTCTTTCTCTCTCATAAATACTTCATAACCACCCCCAGTCTGCAGACTCATCCATCAAGGTCTCTCAGTGTGCTGGGAACAGGAGCAGCCTGGTGAGGTGGGGAGGGAAGGGTGGTGGCACTCTAAAGGTGATTCCACTCCATGGAAACCAAGGTGGTTTTGTGAAGCAGTAAAAAGGAAGGGCAGGGAAAAGTTGAGATGGTTTGGATTGTGGGAAACAAAACTCATTAAAACAGCATCAGCTGTTTGGGTTTCTTTAACATTAAACTGTGTTTGAGTACTGGATGTCTAAATCACTTCAGAAGATGTTAATAGGTAAAAGGTAATGAAATAACCCAAACTGATTACCATCTTATAGCCTTTATGATATAACTTTAAATGCAAATTGCATTCAACTGCGAGAAGGGAAATAATGTGCCAAAGGCATTTCAATTAATTGCTGTAGTTAATTACACTCATAATTTTACTTGTGTGACTAATTATAATCAGCTTTTAGCGGTGTATATGGATTTATTTCTGATACTAAAAGCCCCAAACAGCAGGTTATTTTAGGAAATGCATTTAAACCTTGTAATGAAAACTGCATGTTCCCATTCTTAGCAGTTGTCTTGAAGGAGCTGTGTCTGTTCAGGAGGAGTTTGGAGGAGATCAGGAAGGAAAAGTGTCCTGGCTGAGGTCACTGTGGCCCTGCTGTGCCTCCAGCTGGGATTTTTCACTGCCTTTTCCACAGGTACACATAGTTTACCAGTAAATCCTACATTTCCTTTCTTTAAAAATCCAATTTACATATGAATTTCTCCCACACAAAGCATTTTTCCACAGCCACCTCAGTTCCCAGGTAATTTGTTTTTTTGTCATTGCGGAGTTTTAAAATCCCATCTTATTAAAATCCCATCTTATTTTAGTGCTTTGTGGAAGAAAATCACCAAATCCACTTTTAACTCTATCAAAAGGAGCCTCCCATCTCCAAGAGTACTACTTTTTCATGGAATAATTTATAGAATAATAGAACCATTTAGGCTTTAAGATCATCGAGTCCAGCTCTGATTTTTGGGGTGTTGCTCCTGTGCAATAGGATCCCCGTCCCTGGAGCAGAGGGGATCGATGTTACAACTGGTATTTATTAAAATCCACACTTACTAAACTCTAAAACCAGCCTGAGAAATTTCCTGTCTTCTCTGTATCCTTTTTTTTTTCCCCTTCTCTTTTTTGACTACAGGTGGATGAATGGATTTTTTATGTGGATTTGCTGTGTGACATCTTTTTAATGGAGAGGGTGCTGGCAAGTGCTGTTTTCCCTGTGGAATCCACATCTGGCTGGGCAAGGAAGGACAAAGGAAAAACCTCTGTCCTTCTCTCCCAGCAGTCACAGAAAACTAATTTTGTCCAGACAAGTTCATTTTGAGCTGGTGTTTTGTCACGGGAGGAGCTAATTGTAAGTGGAGTTGCCAAATTTGTCAGAATTCTTTGTGGGTAATGTAAATACATTTCTAGTGAGTAATGGTTTGGTTTCCTTGTCTCTCTGTGCTTCCTGAGAAAAATGTTTTGCTGAGGACACATTGTATGAGGAATTTTTTTGTGCCTGTCCCTGCTGTCACCCCCTGCCCCTCTGATGACTGGGAAGGAGCAGTGCCTTCACCTCTCCCACCTCCAGAGCTGCTCCCAAACCCAGGTGCAGCCCAAAGCTGGGAAAGGATTGCTTTTGGATGGGTTGTACAAACCCTTGTTTGTTTTATTTGTTTTAACCCCAGTTTTAATTGCCAGTGTTGTTTCATTTTCCCTGGGACTGCAGCTCTCAGCCCCACAGCCATCAGCTCTTGCTCCAACATATGTGAAATGTATCAGTGCAGTTCTGTGCTAACCCCAATGGACATGGGAAAATAATGTTCTTGCTGGATCCTTCCAAATGCTCCTGTTCCTCCCCCCACCCTTTCCTGTATCATGCCTTGGCTATTTGTCCTTCAGGAGTGACTGTCATTTCCTGGTGTCTTCACAATAAAAGAATTTCATGCCAAACGTCGCCGAGACAACATTCCTGAAAGCCAGCACCTCAGGTTACCTGTGCAACAGCAAATTGCTTTTCCATAACCATCCTCACAAAGCAAAGCAGATGTCCCACTCGAAGCCTTCTTGTCTTTTCCTGGGAATAGGGTTTTTTTGGGGGGGTTGTTTATTCCCTGCTGGTCCTGTCCTTGTCACCTCCTGGGTGCCAGGAGGGGCCTGGGGCAGAGCAGAGGCTGGTCTCAATCCCTGTCACAGGAGCATTTCCCTTTCCCTTACTGCCACAGCACTGAGCTGCTCAGGGAAAACACTGATCCTTGTCCAGGGAGATTTTATTCCCACTGGGGCTGGTGCTGAAGAGCTCTCAGAGAAGGCTCACCCTCTTTGCAGCAGATTGTTTTCTTCCTTGTTTTAATCTGTTCCCTCGTGGCTGTGCCCTGTGATTGATCATTTATTATTAGCAATGAAAGGCAGCTGAGCCAGAATCCTGTGGGGTTTATCCCCCTGAGCCCTTGGAGAGCTGCCTGTGAAATAAGAATTGAGGAAATAGCCTGAAGGAGAGGGATGGTGGTCCCTGCACACCTTGGTGGGTGCAAAAGGCGTTTCTCAGGTCTCCAGGGAGTGCTGCCGTCGCTGCTTTGGGAGCAGGAGTTCCCTGGGCTGGGGCTGGGCAGCAGCTCTGCACACCTGGGCAGGGTGCCAGACTCCAGAAGCTGCTGAGTGCAGGTTCACCCTGTGAAACAGAGCCCTGAGCTCTGCTGACAGTGCAAACATCCCAAGGCACTGCACATCCCTGCCCCAAAAATGCAAACCCAGCCCTAAACCCAGCCCTAAATATTGTGAAGAAAACAGGGAAGGGGGGGAAAAGTCATGTTCCTCTTCTGAAAGAGTTCACGGATTCCCCTTCAGCAAGGACAAAAGAAATAAAAACTCAGAACAATTCAAATATAGGTCTGTGGTTCACCTTTAATATTTCATTTCTGTTTACTCCTCCAAAGATATTCAGTTACATAAAAATACAGTTAAAGTATTAATCTTTCCTTTAAACTTAAATAGCTTAATTTAATTTCCCATATGTTTTTTTAAAGCTTTACTGATTGATTAATATGAAAATAATTTCCCTGCTTTTGGTGAGCTGTGGTTGTTCTCATTGCCAGGATTTTCCTGAAAATATATAAAGTTATCTCTGCAAACATTGACCTTAAAGGAAAATACAAATCTGCTAATATGAAATCCTATTTTGGTATGGCCAAAATCTAAAATCCTAAAAGAAGCTGTAACATGTTATATGGCACTAGCCAAGGAGAAATATTATGTCCCTCTTCAGAGGGAGAACTAGAATAATACAAGGAAACCCCATTTCCCAATGTATTTTCTATAAGTAATGGGGTGAGAGCTAAAGGAATTGGTTCAAACCACAATCTTCTTGGAAAAAAACTATGCATCTTGGCCATATGTGACTATTGCAGGTATGCTACTATAAAAAATTATATATATATAAAAGAAATATATTTATTTATGTATTTATATGTAAGAAAGAGCCATTTCTTGAGCTGTCCTATTTCATTAGGTAAATAACAACTACAAAGGATGATCAGAGTCTCCTGCTTCAGAAGCAGCCCTCCAAAGAGAGGGAATTTCCACAGATGTGCCTCTGGTCGGTGGGGATGAGCCTCCCTGCTGCTCCCCAGCACATCACATTGGCCATGGCATCCCAGAGAGAGGTGAATAAATAACAGAGCAACCTGGTAGCCCCAGCAGGAGATTGGCTGGAAGGAACCCAGTGTCCTTATCTGAAAATAACTGAGATATTCTGAAGGAAGGAGGGGGATTTATGTGTTGGGTGAGTGTCCCTCCCTGCAGGGGATGAGGGCTGTGTGTGAGCATTTATCTTTGCTCTGTGTTGTACCTTCAGGTAGGACGGTGTGGGGTTGGAGGAATTAGTCCACATTTCACTGCCAGGTTTGCAGTGCTGAATGGAAACGTGCTCCCAACCAACCCCGTCACAGGCACTTCAGAACAGATTCCTCTCCAAGGTTCTGTGTGCTGCTCCTTCCAGTGCTGCCTTAAAACTACAAAATAATCCAGACTAATGCTTTCTCTGAGTGTATTGGCTTCTCAGATTGAATTTTCATTGCTTTATCTCCCGGTTCCTTTGAGTTCTGGTGCTTTGGGTTTCATTGCTTTATCTCCCGGTTCCTTTGAGTTCTGGTGCTTTGGGTTT